TCGGGAGGCTGAGGCAGGAGAATTGCTTGAACCCAGGAGGTGGAGGTTGTGGTGAGCCGAGATTGAGCCATTGCACTCTAGCCTGGGTAACGAGCAAAACTCCATCTCAAAAAAAAAAAAAAAAAAAAAAAGAATTACCTGATTATAAAACCAAATAGGATATACATGCTTCCTGGTAAAGTTAATATTGGCTGGATGCAGTGGTTTAAATTCAGAGGCCAAGGTTGGGAGGATCGCTTGAGCTCAGTCAGGAGTTCAAGGCTGCAGATAGTGCTATTATATTCTAGCCTGGACAACAGAGAGAAGTAAGACTCTGTCTTTAAAATACATACATATATATATAGATTATAACATAGAAAATACTTTGAAATTTTGTTATTTTTTTTGAGTTAAAATGTCAGACTATGAAAGTAAATAACTAGCTGTATTTGGAATTTTGTGTAAAGACAGCAATCAGCTGTTAAAATCAACTATTTCATCTGAAGTACTTAAACATTTTACCCACGCCCCTCCTTTATTTCTTTTTGAGACAGGATCTTGTTGTGCTGCCCAGGCTGGAGTGTGGTAGCATTATGGCTCACTGCAGCTGCCACCGTGGCTCTGGAAATCCTCTTACCTCAGCCTCCTGAGTAGCTGGGACCACAGGCACATGCCACCATGCCTAGCTAATTTTTAAAAATTATTTGTAAAGGTCAGGTGTTTCTGTGTTGCCCAGGCTGGTCTTGAACTCCTGGGCTTGAGCTATCCTCCCACCTTAGCCTTCCAGAGTGCTTGGATTTTAGGCATGAGCCACCACGCCCAACTTACCCCAATTTAAAAAACATCTATTTATTTACTTTCTTTTTTTAGAAACAGAGTCTTGCTCTGTTGCCCTGAGCAAGGGTGGAGTGTAGTGGCATGATCCTAGCTCACTGCAGCCTTGAACTCCTGGGCTTAAGTGATCACCCCACTGTAGCCTCCCAAATAGCTAGACTGTGCAGGCACATGCCAGTATGCCCAGCTAATGTTGAATTTTTTTTTTGTAGAGAGTCTTGCTGCGTTGCCTAGGATGGTCTCAAACTCCCGGTCTGGAGCAGTCCTCTCACCTGGGCCTCCTAGAATGCTGGGATTACAGACCTGAGGCATTGCATCTGGACCCCTATTTGCATGGGGGTTTCTTGGTGGAAGACCAGAGAACTTGCTAGACAAAATCTAAAAGAGCTATACCACTGCAGCCTCCAAGTTTGAACTCACCAACTCAGCATATACTTTGGCTTTTACAAGACCGTTACTAAGAATACTCTCTTTTCTACATCGCTTTTGGTCTGTTCTGCTTCTTGAAGAAGCATAGTAAAAATATTTTGTAACTGCTAAGTTCATTCATTGTACTAAATGTGTGAAAAAGTAAGAGTAGTAGGTAACATCCTGGATTCTGGAGACTGATTGTTAGGTTGAAGATAACTGTCCAATCTTTTCATTTTTTTTGAGATGGAGTCTTGCTCTGTTGCCAGGCCAGAGTGCAGTGGCATGACGTCGGCTCACTGCAACCTCTGCCTCCCAGTTCAAGTGATTCTCCTGCCTCAGCCTCCCAAGTAGCTGGGACTACAGGTGTGCACTACCACGCCCAGCTCATTTTTGTATTTTTAGTAGAGACAGGGTTTCATAATGTCAGCTAGGATGGTCTCGATCTCTTGAGCTCGTGATATGCCCGCCTTGGACTCCCAAAGTGCTGGGATTACAGGCGTGAGCCACTGCACCCAGCCACTGTCCAGTCTTACTATAAATTCACATAAATCTTTATCTTTCAGAAAATACTTTTCCTATTAACTGTATAAAATTATTCAAACACAATAATTCTAAATTTGAGATTTGCTCATTTAATTCTGTGGAATACACAACACTTCTATTTAAAATAATGGACTTGATGGCTAGAAAAGTAAGTCAGTGTCTAATAGAGTCCTTGTATATTGTCTAGAGCAGGGGTCCCCAATACCTGGATCACGGTGGCATCAAACTCTCATAGGATAACCAACCCTATTGTAAATTACACATGCAGAGGATCTAAGTTGCGCACTCCTTATGGGAATCTAATGCCTGATAATGTGAGGTGGAAGAGTTTCATCCTGAAATCACCACCTCCACCCACCCCTGCCATTCGTGGAAAAATTGTCTTCCTTGGAACCGGTCCTTAATGTCACAAAACTTGGGAACTGCTGGTCTAGAGGCTTTCTTCCTCTTGTGTTTGACTTGATTCATGTTGTATTAGTTGCGATGTTGTCCATTTCAACACACAGATATTCATCCAAAGAAATAATTGTCATTTCGATACTTTAAGCTGTCATTTTTTCTTTAAGTGACTGATTTCTACTATGCATCAGGCACTGTTTAGGCCTTGGAACTTCCCAAGTGTGCCAGGGACCTTGTATTCTAATAGAGAAGACACATAAATATGGCCAGTATTGGGTTTTTGGTTTTTCTGGATTTGAGTTTTTAACTGAAAACTTAAAATTTTTTTTCCTGTGAATACTCTTAAAGACAAATTCAGGAAAATTACACAGACTGGCTAAAATTTTAGGTTGAATAAAGACTGTCTTTAACTGATTAGAGTTAATATTAAGAAGGTGAAAATATTGATATTAGGTATGTTACCTAGATGAGCAATTTAAGATGGGAACATGAACTTGGGATGTTTGCAGTTTGGAGTTATCAATCACTTTCTACCCTGACCAAAACAAAACTGAATGAATATAAATTCTGACAGGCTGATCTTCACCATTACTGTAACCTATTTGATCTCAAAAATTTTTTTATTATGTAGCCCGCTGTGTGTGCTTGCGACACAGCCTCTGGAGGCTGAGGCAGGAGGCTCCCTTGAGGCCAGGAGTTCCAGCTGCACTGAGCTGTGATCATGCCGGTGAATAGCCACTGTACTTTAGCCTGGATAACATAGTAAGACCTCATCTCAAATTTAAAAGAGAAAACATATTATTTGGAAAATTTAAAAAATAACATATATAAAAGTAGACTGACATAATGTAGTGAACCTTTTTGTACTTATTTCTGGCTTCAACAATTAATCAATGTGGTTAATCTTTCTTCATCCATAACCTACTCCCGACTTGATTATTTTAGTGCTGTGTTGTTGTTTTTCTTTTAGACTGTATCTTTTTCTGTCGCCCAGCCTCAAGTACGGTGGCACAATCTTGGCTCACTGAAGTCTTGACCTCCTGGGCTCAAGCAATCCTCCTGCCTCAGCCTCATGAGTAGCTGGGAGCACAGGTGCATGTCACCACACTTGGCTAATTTTTAAATTTTTTGTAGAGATGAGGTTTCCCTATGTTGCCCAGGTTGTTCTCAAATTCCTGGGCTCAAGCAGTCCTCCCACTTTAGCCTCCGGAAGTGCTAGGATTGTGATATTGTCCATTTCAACATATAGGTATTCATCCAAAAAAATACCTAATTGTCATTTGGGTACTTTAAGCTTTCATTTTTTTCTTTAAGTGACTGTTTGATTTTTACTAACCATGCGTGGCTGATTTTTAAAATATTTAGTAGAGACAGTCTCAGTATTTTACTCAGACTGGTCTTGAACTCCTGGGCTCAAGCAGTCCTCCCACCTTGGCCTCCCAAAGTGTTGGAATTATCACGTCTGAGCCATCATACCTGGCCTTAGTTTTTATTATTGTTTTCTCTTCTATGGCTCCTCAAAAGTCAACTTAATGACATGATTGTTTTAGAGTAAGTCCCAAACATAACAGCATTTCACCTGTGAAAACTTATGTATCTTTAAAGATAATGATTAAACATACATGCACTCAAAATCATACATACACACAGGTACTATTATCACAGCACCCCTGTGATAGTTTACTAATTGGTAACAGTTTACTATTGCTTGTAAAATATCCAGTTAGTTTTCATATTTCCCAATTGTATCATAAATGTCCTTTCATACCTGGTTTATTTGAAGTTATATCCAAACAGGGTTATACATTACATTGAGTTGGTATCTTTCTTAAGTCTTTATAGCAATATCTCTTACTTCTTTTTTTTTTCCTTGGCATTTGTTTGTTGTAGAAACAGATCATTTGTCCTGAAGAATTTTCTCACATTCTAGACTTGGCAGGTTCATCTTCTGGTGTCATCTAACACATTTGGCAGGTTCATCTTCTGGTGTCATCTAACACATTTCTCTGTCCCCTGTATTTCCTGTAAATTGGAAGTTAGAGCTAGGTATTTGATGATTCGTTTTTTTCTTTTTTTGACAAGAATATTTTATAGATGGCGTTATATACATCCTACACAGTACATTATGATGTTTATAATGTCTGGTTGTCTCCTTTCTGTATTATAAATATTGATTAGTGTGTAGAGGTGTTTTCATCGTGATCCATTCGTTTAAAAACTTACTTATCGGTTTCAACAGCCATTTTTTTTTTTTATCATTGCCTGGATTTGCTGTTTTATGTGATACTCTATAGTTTCTTCTACATTTATTGCTAGCATTCCATATAGTTGACTGTAACAACCATTTGGTTAACCTGAAATGCAGTTTTTTACAGAAGAGACATGATGTATGTGTATTTTCTTTCATTTATCAGTTTTAAGAATCTGTTGATTTCCTAGTTTTTTCCGAAGGGAACTCCTATATTTTTTTAAGTACCATTATGAGCTCATGAATTTTTGACATTTAACATTTGATATGTTTCACTCCATTGTAGTCTTCTTTGATGTTCAGATTATCTTGTCTTTAATCAGTGAGAGCCTCTTCATGTTGGCTTCTGATAGTTTTTTTTTTTTTTTTTTTTAATTTTTTATCTTTGACATGCCGGTTTTTGATAACTGTCTTGCCTCTGAAGACAAGGTATACCAAGATATACCAGGCTCATCTTAAAAATTTTCTGCCCTGACCTAGAATTAGCCCTTTGTCTAAAGAACTCTGTTTCTGGCCAGGCGCGGTGGCTCAAGCCTGTAATCCCAGCACTTTGGGAGGCCGAGGCGGGTGGATCACGAGGTCAAGAGATCGAGACCATCTGGTCAACATGGTGAAACACCGTCTCTACTAAAAAAAATACAAAAAATGAGCTGGGCATGGTGGTGCGTGCCTGTAATCCCAGCTACTCAGGAGGCTGAGGCAGGAGATTGCCTGAACCCAGGAGGCGGAGGTTGCGGTGAGCCGAGATCATGCCGTTGCACTCCAGCCTGGGTAACAAGAGCGAAACTCCGTCCCCAAAAAAGAAGAACTCTGTTTCTTTTAGAAGTACTATTTAGAGACCTCAGTAGGAATTGTTTAAGAAAGTCAGGCTACATGTGAATTAATGGCCATCTTTTTGAGGTATTTGTTTGTTTTTTATTTTGAAGCAGAGTCCTGCTCTGTCACCCAGGCTGGAGGGCAGTGGTGCGATCTTGACTCACTGCAACCTCTGCCTCCTGGGTTTGAGTGATTCTTGTGCCTCAGCCTCCCGAGTAGCTGGGATTACAGGTGTGTACCATCACGCCTGGCTAATTTTTATAGTTTTAGTAGGGATGGGGTTTCACCATGTTGCCCAGCCTGATCTCAAATTCCTGAGCTCAAGGGATCCACTCGCCTTGGCCTCCCAAAGTGCTGGAATTACAGGTGTGAGCACCATACCCGGCCTTTCTAAAGCATTTGAATTGTATATTGTTTGTCAGTTGTTTTAAAAGTGGACATTGTGCAAAGTAGCCTTTTGGTTTCCAGTTTACTTTGAGACAGCTGTTATTAATTAGATATACTTAGTACATTGATATACATTTCAAGTAGTCATATGGACTAAGACTGTACTTTTTTCTATATAATTATGTATTTTTATTTTTTAATTAAGAAATTTCTCTTTTAAAGACAGCGTCTCACCATGTCACCTAAGCTGGAGTACAGTGGGCATGATCGTGGCTGACTGTAGCCTCGACTTTCTGGCTCAAGTGATCCTTCTGCCTTAGCCTCCCAAATAGCTAGGACTACAGGTGTGTGCCACCATGCGTGGCTGATTTTTAAAATATTTAGTAGAGACAGTCTCAGTATCTTACTCAGGCTGGTCTTGAACTCCTGGGCTCAAGCAGTCCTCCCACCTTGGCCTCCCAAAGTGTTGGGATTATAGACATGAGCCCACTGTACCTGGCCCCATTTTTCTCTTTAACAACTACTACATTTTGCTGATAGATCACTCTTTACAATTAATTCTCTGCAATTGATTGTGTACTTACAACTATTTGTTCCCCTCATTGAGAATATGTTAAATTGGGCTGGGCGCGGTCGCTCATACCGGTAATTGCAGCACTTGGGGAGGCCAAAGTGGGTAGATCACCTGAGGTCAAGAGTTTGAGACCAGCCTGGCTAACATGTTGAAACTCTGTCTCTGCTAAAAATACAAAAAATTAGCCAGGTGTCGTGGTGGGCACCCATAATCCCAGCTACTCGGGAGTTTGAGGCAGGAGAATTCCTTGAACCCAGGAGTTAGAGGTTGTCATGAGCCCATATTGCGCCACTGCCCTCCAGCCTAGGCGACAGAGCCAGACTGTCTCAAAAACAAAAAAGAAAAAAAATATATTGAATTGTTTTTGCAGTGTAATGAATAAGTGATTCTTTTTAAATGTACTTTTTTTTTCCCCATCAACTTTTAAGTTCCAGGGTACATATGTAGGATGTACAAGTTTGTTACATAGGTAAATGAGTGCCATGGTGGTTTGCTGCATAGATCAACCTACCACCTAAGTATTTTTTTTTTCCACCTAAGTATTAGGCCCAATATCCATTAGAAATATAAAAATGTAAGGATAATGCTAAGTACACAGTTATACAGTATGATTTGTTACTTCCTCTTTTGTGTTTTTTTTCCGCCCTCAAAGCTGAGCATGTTTAATTATCCTCACTGGGAGAGTTGAAAACTACTTGACAGATTCCATAATCAGTAAGTCAGAGATTCAGGTCATTAAAAAGGGGGTATTGTCACCCACCCCAAGGCCATAGATAGATAGGATTTTGGGTCCCAGAGTGACTGTGGGTGGTGGAACCCTGTGAAAGGCAGCTTTGATGGGTGGTGTCTGTTGGATACCTCTTTTACTTCTTATACAGAAAGAAGATGGTAGTGAGGTTTAGCATCTCTGTATTCCCTTTAGGACTTACTGTGAAATCAAGTGATTACTTTGTAGCCTGTCCTATTAAGGTATATTTAAAATCTTTAGGAATTTTACAGCTTTTAAGGATATTTCACCAGGTATAAAAAAACTCAAAATCCACTTTATTTTGCCTTGTGTCACATAGTAAATGTCTGACATTGGACATATATATTAACTAAATCTTACAAATAGGTCTCAGATGGGGTTGTCAGTGAAAAAGATATTAAATGGACACCCAAAGGGATTTTGCTTCTTGATACCTTGTCTTTTTCTAATCCTGTTCTTCAGATTTTGGCTTCATTGTATTCTTGCATCAGTCTGTATATAAATCCTAAATGTGCTTTCTTTCAAAAAGTGCTTCTTAATAGTCAGGATGATTTCATGTGCCCAGTGTTGTGCTGGTGTGCTTATCTGTTTTTTTTGTTTGTTTTTTGTCCTTTTTCCTTTCTCTATATTTGTAATCCTCGTGTTCACAGGGATAACAAATTTTCACTATCTTAATTTTTTCTATGGAACATTTCTTATTCTTTGCGAAGGCATGCATGCAGTGGTTTATTTGTTCTTAATGCCTTTATCTTTTTTTCTGCTCTTAGACATGGGAGCATACTTTGTGTAAACCTGAAATTATGTGAGTTGGTTGGAGGGGGTTGTTTTCTTTTTAGTGGATATGACAGTTTTCATACCTGCATATCTCATTGGATAGGAAAATTCTGTATAATTAATAGCTCAGGGCTTCTTTGTCTAGTAACCTGATATAGTTCACTGTTCAGCTTTGGATAAAATTAGCACGTAGTTTTCTCCACTTAAGACCATAAAAGATGGAGATTATATATACTACCTAATTCTTACTCTTTTCATTATACCTTGATGGATCCTAACCAGTTCCATGTCTGTTCTTCCTTGAGTTAGAAAGAATCCCAGGAACATCTTTCTGTACTTCTATTCCTGTTGGTTTAATTTCTCTGTTTTTGGCTCAAAGTCTCAGGAAGCACATCATCACCTAAGAGAAGCTTGTGACTCTCATTTCCAGCTGCCCTCCTATTCTTTCCTCTATAGGACAGCCCATGTACTCTCGTGAACATGGTGCTGCTACATCTGAGCGACTTCAGTTGGGGACACCGCCTCCTCTGTTGGCAGCTCGTTTGGTGCCGCCTCGAAACCTCATGGGATCCTCCATTGGGTACCATACCTCAGTCTCCAGCCCTACCCCTCTGGTTCCAGGTAAGCTTTGCTACAGATGGCCATCCACCTCGCTGATCTTTTTTACCTTAAGCTGGCCAGCGTAAGCGGTGACTGGCATCCTGATCTGCTGTCATAAAGTCCCATTAAAGCTCATAGGTAGTTTTATTTTCTGTTCCTTTGCTGCTTTGGTTTGTCTCTAGTGGCTGCTAGATGATTAGGCCTCATGTGTGTCTATCATCTGTGGTTTCCTCTATATTTACTTTTAGTGCCTTGGTAACAAAATGATGCTGGTTCATTTAGCTAATTTCTAATCAGGTAGATAGGAAGATAATATCTACCTGAATGTTTTCTAATTAGTTATACATTGTAATAAACTAGGTTATTTTTTCTTTAAAACAAAAATAAACATCTGGTTTCTTGATGATCATGTCCTTTTTTCCTTTTTGCCCCTTGTATTATGGCCATTTTGCCCCTTGTATGTGTATATAAAACTTCTGAAAAACTCTTTTCTCCTTTTGACATATGTATTTTGAAAGATCTGTGGAGTGCTTTGTGGGTGTCTCATGAGGGGTTTTTAACCCTTTCTCACTTTGCCTTTAGATCTTAGTTCATCATCATTAACTAAAGGACTTTTAAGTTAATTGGTGTTCTGTGTATTCCCAGGATTTATAGCACAAGGTCATTTGATTATGTAATTTCTTTAAAACTTTCTGCAGTCTTAATTGTAGGAGATTTTCTGTCAATAGTGTCAAATGGTAACTGAAAACTTTTTAACCATAATTTGCTAATCTTTTTTTTTTTTTTAAAGATAAAGCAGCATTTATTTTGTATGTTATATTGCATGTAATTTTTAGAGTTGGCATAACCAGGGAAGCTGTTATTTTACATATCAGTTTCAAACTGTATCATCCTTAAACACATTGAAATTTAATAAGCAACTCTGTTAGATTTACTTTTAAGCTAGGCATATCATTACAGTGTGTTCCCATCAGGAGGGAATGCTCATGATTAAACTGTCTTTAGTTGTCTTCAAGAAACAAAAAAATTATAAATTATTTTGTTAGAACAAAAGCTAAAATAATTAAATATGAAGCCCCAAAAATACTCTTTGGCAGATAACTAAAAGCATAGCGCTGTAACCACTGAGGCAAAATTAATCATCATCAGGAAACTTGGAGACTGAATGCAAGCGTTAGTAATGAAATACAAAATCTCTAATAGGAATGTCTTTGTGATAATAATTTATTAAATTTTCTGTGCCATCCTTCTCTGAGGAGGCCAATACAAATGACCCGAATGATTAATTTTCAACATCATTTAACATTTTATTAGAGGGAGTAGGTTCTTAATCTAGTGATGCCTTTTTTGTGTAATTCCATGAGCTGTTTTCAAAACCCGAAGAAAGGAGGAAAATGGAGAAGGAATGTCGGGCAGCAGTTCTAGTTCTTTATTTATTTATTTTTTGAGACGGAGTCTTTCTCTGTCACCAGGCTGGAATGCAGTGGAACAATCTTGGGTCACTGCAACCTCTGCCTCCTAGGTTCAAGCAATTCCCCTGCTTCAGCCTAA